TTCGGCTACCACGTCTATTTCCTTCAATGTCCATGCTTAATTCTGATCTCTGAGGCTCTGAAGCACACTGTCAATTCTCTCTACTCTGTTGCAATCCAGGAAGGGGAAAATAATGGAGAGTTCAAGAAAGCACACCGTCAATTAATCTCTCTCTACTCTTTTACCAGAGGAAGAGATGGTTGATGCTTTTGGATACACGTTAGTCAAAGGAAAGTAAGGATGGTTCAAATCAAAGAAATTTGAAGGAAAATTCTCAAAATCAATTGGCTGCGTTTGATTTTTATTTCACCAATATCCTATCCTTGTTCCAAATACAAGTGCTATTTCCTTATTTTTAAAATCATATCTTAAATTAAGGAGCTTTTAAACCCCCTAAGTTTGTTAATTGACAAAAACACCCTCAACAATTTTTTTTTTTTAAATTAACAAAAACATTCCCACCCACCGATAGTTGTCAGATTTCGGCAACCACCATCAGTAATGGCCAGAATCTGTCACAACAGCACACTACCGGCCGGTAATGTGTCGATCTGGCCGAAAAATGTTAGATCTGGCCGTCAATGATGACCATATCTTTGGCCATCGTTGACAACAAATCTGACGGTAGATCTGACTTTTTTCGGTTAGATTCAGATCTGTAGTGGATCTGGCCGAAAAAGGCTAGATCGGCGAATGACTGGCCAGAGCCGACTAGTCGTGCACCGTAACACCAAATTCCGATAGTGGTGGCCGGAATCTGGCCACTATAGGTAGGTGGGGGTGTTTTTGTCATTTTACAAAAATTAGCAAACCTAAGGCGCTTTTTTTTTTTTTTTTGTAAATTTTTAAATTTTACCTCATAATAATCACCCAACTCTACTTTCCAATAATAGTATGTAGATCTTGATGTTTACCTTTCCTTTGTGATGCTCACCATTTTAATATGATTTTTGAATTTTTTCTAAGTAAGAAATATTGACATACAGAACAATTAGTTATAGTTTAATTTGACAAACTAATTTTAGAAAGCATCTTTATTTTATGAAAAATTATACAAACTTTATTAATTTTGTTCTTGGTATAATTAAATAAATAAATAAAACATTAAATTTAGTGTAAATTTGATTAAATGTACTTGTGAGATATTTTGAAAATTTAATTGATATATTTGATTAATATAATTATGTGAAATTAAAATTTTGAAACATATTTTTGGAAGTTTTTCAAAGTCAGGGAGGGTCAAGTACAGAAGTAGTCACCATAGAAGATCAGTCTTCACAACGACTTTGCTCGCTAGAGTTGTTTGATTAAGAGCAGTTAATTACGTTATAAATCAATATTACTGTTGAATTAATATTGGTTTATGCATGTCAAGATAATGTTGATGAATGCAGCAGCTTCAGTTTCAGAAATAGTTCGTTTGAACGTGAGTTGCATTCTTTTGGAAGTTCTTCTACTTCATGTAGCTCAAGCTCAGAAGGGAGATGAAACTCAAAGCCCAGATCAGAGTAGGCAAACTTCAATTGTAATTCCACCTCTAGCTATAACAGCACCTCATGAAGGTCTGCTTCTAAGTTCCATCTCCTTTTTTATTTGAGTTCCTTTCTTATGAACTCATTATTTTGCGTTTTTATGTACTTGTTCTCACTCTTCTGATAACAGTGACAGCATTGAATGCAATATTTGAGAAATGGGAGATATCTGCAAATCAAAGTCTATGGAATATAAGTGTAGATCCATGCAGTGGAGCAGCCATTAATGCCGAGGGTACAACCCTTTTATAAAACGTGATTGGTCTTACAAAAGAACTATTTGCCACATATGTTAGGAGATCGCTAGTAGAAAACATATATTTCAAATAAATAACATAGGAATAAAATCACACCACACAAGAGACATGATATTTATGTGGTTCAACATAACCCGTCTATATCCACGGATAAGAGAAATCCACTATAATTTCATAAACACGATATATAAGAGTACACAACACCATAAATCCGATACATAAAACAGAGCGAAAACATCATAGTTTCTAACTATGCTCAACTCAGTACCTAGAGTGAAAACAATCTCAGTTTCTAAAACACTCTCCCCATGGTGTTTAATAACTCTTATATCAAATACTTTATGTTCTCACATTTTCTCATAACCTTGAATTGGTTCTCACCCATATATTTATAAGTAGTATATGAGATATTCTATTCCTAATAGAATTCATATTCATATTTTAATTTCTAATTCGACTCTCATATTTTCATTCATATTTAAAATTGTATTCTTTACTAAAGAGTTTTCCTAAAGATATACAATTTTACATGGGAACAAATAGAAAAACGAGCCACAAAATCCCAACAATCTCCACTTTGGCAAGTTTTTCATCACAACGATAAACATGACAAAGATAACGCTCCATCACCACGACATCGATGTTAACCATGTCGAATTTTGCTAGCATCCAAGTCACATAATAGCCATGCTGAATTTTGCCGCCAAGATTTGAGAACCACTCCACCTACAACTTAAACATGTTGTAGTCCGTCTCTTATGTGCATCCACCATCTCAAAAGAACTCATCACTCAAGTCGCAACTTGGAGCTCTAATATCATTTGTTAGGAGATCACGCAGCGGAAAACATGCTTTCGAGATAAATAACATAGGAATAAAATCAGACCACACAAAGAGACACGATATTTACCTGGTCGGCATAACCCACCTACATCCACGAATGAGAGAAATTCACTATAGTATCATGAACACAATATACAAAAGTACACGACACCATAAACCCGGTACATAAAACAGAGCGAAAACATCCTAGTTTCTAACCATGCTCAACCCAGTACCTAGAGTGAAAACAATATCAGTTTTTAAGACACTCTCTCCATGATGTTTAATAACCCTTACATCAAATACCATGTGTTCTCACATTCTCTTATTCTCTCATGACCTTGAATTGGTTTTTACTTCTATATTTATAGGTAATATATGAGATATTCTATTCCTAATAGGATTCATCTTTCAATTCCTAATTGGACTCTCATAATTCTATTCCGATTTAGAATTGTATTCTTTACTAAATAATTTTTCTAAAGACATACAATTTTACATGAGAACAAATAGGAAAACGAGCCACAATATCCCAACAACATTGTCCAAATGTAAGTATCATAACTTTTAACCTTTAACTGAGCAGAAAAAGAAAATATTTTGCTTAGCCTTTCTTCAATTTCATGGTTACTTACTTTTAAAATTACAAGAGAGTTTACTCACTGCAAGTTGATGGTGTGATTCCAGATGAGCTATGGAATTTGAATTTCCTCACCAATCTGTATGGTTTTGTATGTTTCAAATGTGCTTATTTCAATGTTCATTATTTTAGACCACGGTTACTCTTATTTAATGATGTTAACTCTATCAACATTATTGGATAAGGGGTACACCCATGATGGGTTACCCCAAGCGACGTGGGTGAGATGAAACTGCCAAATGCAGTTTCTCTCTAACTGCTGCCATATAAAAGGAAAACCTTTTCCTTTTTAGAAAAAAAAAACACTCACTGTCACTCTCAAATATTCAAAAGGAAAATACGCTCTCTCCCTCTCTAGAATTTGGAAAACAGAAACATTCTTCGTGGTTTTCTTCCAGATTAACTTTGTTGCTTCAGAGATAAGGAAATGAGGTATTTATGCTGTGTAAATTCATTGTAGTTCATTTATATACAAATGTGATTGCAATGGTGACTATGATCTTGGGATTATGTTAGGATATATGTTATTCTATTTAATTTCCAGCAAACATCATAAATGATTTGGAGTTTGTGTTCTTAAATATTCATCTTTTCTCTGTTTTTCATGTTTCTAAAAGGAAAGCAGGGCTAAATTTTTTGTCGGGTCCACTGTGTCCATCTGTCAGTAATCTAATAGCAATAAAATACCTGTAAGCAGCTTCAATTTATTTGAAACTCAAGCAAATTTTTCTACTTCTGATGTTTAGTTCTCATTCTGATCAGGAACTAAGGCATTAATACATTGTCTGGGCAGCTTCCAAAAGAGCTTGGCATGCTTTCTGAGTTAGCATCACTGTAAGTATTATGTTTATCCCCTTTTTTATTGTATAATACTTAATCTAAATGAACTATGTTGTGTAAGCTGATCCTGATTTTACTTATCAGGCTTTATTGACCACGAATACCATTCTTAGTGAACCAAAAACTGTAACTGAAGCTTTACTTATACCTGAATGGAAGCAGGCTATGGAGAGTGAATACCAAGCTCTTTTGAAGAATCAGACTTGGGAATTAGTACCTTATGAAGAAGGTATGCATATAGTTGGAAGTAAATGGGTTTTCAAGACTAAGTTAAACTCATATGGGACTCTGCAAAAATACAAAGCCAGGCTGGTAGCCAAAGGCTTTCAACAGACACCTAGACTGGACTACTTTGACACTTTTTCTCCAGTTGTGAAGGCTGCAACAATTCGAATTATGATTTCTTTGGCAGTCCATCAAGGTTGGCAAATTCAGCAACTTGATGTAAATAACGCATTCTTGAATTGGGAGCTATCAAAGAAAGTTTTTATGTTGCCCCTTGAAGGTTTCTCTCCTGCCTCTTCTTCTTTTAATTCAAGGCTGGTGTGCAGATTACATAAGGCTCTCTATGGCCTTAAGCAAGCTCCAAGAGCTTGGTTCGATAAACTGAAAGGTGCATTATTAGAATGGGGATTTGTTTACTCTACCGTAGATATTAGTTTGTTCTTTTACAAGAGAGAATCCCAAGTAATGTATCTTCTAGTATATGTGGATGACATCTTGGTGACAGGAAATGATAGTCATCTTATTTCACAGCTAATAGCTGATCTTAACAGCAAGTTTGTTGTAAAAACTTTGGGAGAAGTTCAGTATTTTCTTGGTTTTGAGGTTAAAAGAAATTCTTTTGGTTTACTGCTTACACAGACCAAGTATGCCTAGGAGCTTTTGTGTAAAACTGGTATGGAGGATTCTAAACCATGTTCTACCCCCATGGCCATTGGTTTAAAACTTGGAAAAGAAGACAGTGAGCAATTTAATCAGCCTTCTCTTTACAGGAGTATCATTGGGGGATTGCAATATTTGACTTTGTCTAGACCTGATTTGGCTTTTTCAGTGAATAAACTAAGTCAATTCCTGCAGAATCCTACTACAACTCACTGGACAGCCTGCAAAAGAGTGTTGAGGTATGTTAAAGGTACTTTATCCCATGGGATTCTCTTCACAAAAAGGAAACCATTTACTCTAGAAGCCTTTGCTAATGTTGACTGGGTAGGAGACACAATTGATAGAAAATCCACTAGTGGCTATAGTGTTTTTCTTGGTGGTAATCTAATCCAATGGTCTTCAAGGAAACAAAAGGTTGTTTCTTTGTCATCAACAGAGGCAGAGTATAGGTCTCTTAGCCAAGCTGCAACTGAAGTAGTTTGGATCCAGAATTTGTTTAAAGAACTTGATATTCACATTAAAAACAACTCTGTTATATGGTGTGATAACATGAGTGCTGGTGCTTTGTCCTCAAACCCTGTTTTCCATGCAAGGACAAAGCACATTGAGATTGATGTCCATTATGTGAGGGAACTTGTTGCAAATAAAACATTAAATGTCCAATACATAGCTACTGAATATCAGATAGCTGACATTCTTACTAAAGCTCTTCCTAGCTCAAGGTTTGCTCTATTAAGAGAAAAACTGTGTTTTGCAGCTGAACTTCCTGAATCACTGTCTGATTGATCAAGTAAAATGTGCAGACTGCAGTAGTTGCAAGAGCTGTGTGGTGTAGACTGGCCGAATACATGACTGAAGCAGTAGTTGTTCTGTTTTCTGTAATCTGTAAGAGTAGAATTGAGATGATTGTAAGCAGGAGTTTAAGTAATTCTGAATGGAGTAAAATGTGCAGACTGCAGTAGTTCAAGTAAAGTGTGTAGCATGGCAGACTACACAACTGCAGCAGTAGTGTTTTTTTTTTTTTGATCTGTGCTGTTAGTAAAGTGTCATGTTGATCTGTTCTGTTAGTAAAATGTGCAGGCTGGCAGACTACACAACTGCAGCATTATGTTGATCTGTTTTTGTTTATCATTGTAATCTGTTAAGAGTAAAAATTGAGATGGATGTAAGCAGGAGATGAAGTAGTTCTGAAGAAGTGGTGAGTTTAGCTGCGATCTGTTCTGTTAGTAAAATGTGCAGGCTGGCAGACTACACAACTGCAGCATTATGTTGATCTGTTTTTTTTTTTTTTTTTTTTTTTTTTGTTTACATTGTAATCTGTTAAGAGTAAAAATTGAGATGGATGTAAGCAGGAGATGAAGTAGTTCTGAATGGAAGTGGTGCAGTTTAGTTCTGAATGGAATTGAATGGAATTGGTGCAGCTTGCAGGGAATGTGCAGCACAAGTGGTGTACAAGTGGTCCAGCTTAAGGGGAAATTTTAGACAAAGGGTGTAATTGTAACGTGGTTTAGCTTAAGGGGAAATGTTAGGAAAAGAGTGTATTTGTAAGTTTTTAGAACTGAACTGGTTAGTTTGTAATATTAGAAATATACTATACGGTGCGTTTTGAGCACTCTAACTACAAAAGTGTCTCTCCTGTAACAAACTTTTCACTTAATAAAAATTCCCAGTTTTTTTGTGTTTATGTCTGATACTTTCCTCTCTACTGTTCCTTAGTTTGCTTCTTTAATTCAAGAAAAATCTTCATCGTGAAGATTTTCACTCTCCTGAAAGCTATTAAACTCAAAAGGGGTGTCTTACTTGTTCTCTGCTTTGGATTTCTCACTCTAATCAGAGAAATCTTCTTCTGTTTCAACTGTTGCAAACAAGCTGCGGCCGGTGGCGACGGAGAATGAGGAAGGGTCCAATCGAAGGGAGGAGAGATGATGTATTGCAATGGAGAGAAACCGGAGATGGTATTGGTTGGAAGTGTTGAAGGTGGAGAGAGAAGAGGCGTTAAGACTTTAAGGCTAAAGAATTGACTTACGAATTTACGCGTTAAGACTTCAAAAGGGTGCGGCATGTAATATCCTCTTAGAAAGGTGGTGACATGTAATATAAAAGGGGGTGAACAGTAATATCCCCTTAAAAAGGTCGTGACATGTAATATAAAAGGGTGTGGCGGGTAACATCCCCTTAAAAAGGGTGTTCATGTAATATCCTCTTAAAAAAATGAACATCATATCGTTTTATACCTATAAACCAAATTCTTGATTTCAGACTAGTGTTTAAAATCAAAGGTATTTTATTTCTATGTCATTTCTAACCACTAGTTAAACGAGGTTATTTATCTTTATAGAATATAAAACAAAACAAAATCAATAGGGATGGATTAATAAAAGATAATTGTGATTATGATTTTAATATATTAATAAGAATTAATTATTATTTTCAGAAATATTATTGGGAAAAAAAAAAGCTTAAAATGTTAAATGGTAGTCAATTTCTTTGATAAAATTTGTGTGGCACTTTTTTTTGGGCTAAATTCTTCATTTTGAAGAGTGGCACATAATTTGAATAGAATCCAATTTTAAGAGGAATTGATAGCTAATTAATAATCTATTTCTTTTGTTTAAATAATTAAAGTAACCAACATTTTCTATTTTGATTTTTAATTAATAAATTAATAAAATAAGAAATCATTTTTTTTTTATATAAATGAATAATTAAATAACCATTCTTTTTTATTTTATTTATTATAAGACATAATTAAAAGAGTTGTTAATATTTTATTTCTTATCAATAAATATTTAAAATAACCTTCCTGTTTTATTTTGACATTTTAATCATAAATAACTGAAACAACAATTTTTTTTTTTTCATTTTGATCTTAATAAATAAATAGTAAATAATAAATTCATTTTTATCTTTTAAGTTCTATAAAAATATAATGAAACATTAATTCCTTCTTTATTATGATTTTTATAAATAAATAATTAAAACAATAATTCATTCCTTATTTTCAGTTTATATTTATAAGATAATTTATTTAATTACTCTTTTTCTATTTTATAAATAAAATCAACTGCCTCCAACAATAATATATTCTAATTGAAAGGTACGTGTTATTACCTTCATTATTTGAGATGGGTAAGAGAAAAAAATTTATAAATATCTTGACACTTGATTATTCTGTTGTAAAATATCATTTCAATTCAATAAGTGAATCAAATGATTTTTTTTTCTTTTTTATATTCTTTGATATTTTCATGAGTTTTTTTTTTTAATTAAAAAAAAAAGTTATCTTAACATTATTTGTCAAATTCATGGAGTTACACATATATTTTTGAACTCAATGAAAATTATTTAGTGATTAATATTATAAAGTTATTATCAATAAGAGCTTAGCTAAAATGGAAGTTAATAGTTAGTCTTGTGATTTGTTCTCATGACACCGGTAGCATTCCAGGAAACTTCTACTGAAATATGAGGTGCGTAATGGCGTTCAATAAAAACCCTTCAAAAAGGGGGTGGAATGTAATATGGTGACAAGTATGGCGTTCATGGACCCATGGCATCTTTATAAAAATAGGTTCAGAACAAGAGGTACGTGTTCTTACCTTCATTATTTGAGATGGGTAAGAGACAAAAATTTATAACTATCTTGACACTTGATTATTCTCTTAAAATATCATTTCAACTAAATAAGAGAATCAAATTATTATTTTTGCTTCTTTATATTCTTTGATATTTCCATGAGTTTGATATTTCATGTTTTGCCTTTTGTTTTATTATTTTCATTAGTTAATAGTTATAATTGTTAATTGGAGATGATGATATGGATGATGATTTTTTTCGTGTGCCATTAATAAATTCGAGAAGTGCGAATCAAGAGACTCCACTAACACTATTATTGTAAGATGAAGATGATTTATGTTATGTTTTTAAATTTATAATTTTATGTTATATTTGGTTGAACATTACCAAGTTAGGAGATGTTTGTCTAAGTTTATAAGCTGGTCAAACTAGTTTATAAGCTCTAAAATTAAGTTGACCTGTTTATTTATAACTTTTTTGAGTTTATAAGTTAAACTTATAAGCCAAAAAAATAAGTTGAGGGAGGTATTTTTTTCTTTTTGGCTTATAAGCAGAGTTTAACCAAGTATATTACCATATTATCCTTGTTTAATTTTAAAATTTCATAGTATACCCTTATTTAATATAGTACCATTTTTAATCATTTTATAAGCCACATTTTATCAAACACGTCAACAACTTATCAGTCACCTATAAGTACTTTAACCAAATACGTAATTGCTTAAAATTTCAAATGTTTATAAGTACTTGCTAATTTTCATAAGCTCAGACAAACATTCCTTTAAATTGATGCTGTTGTTTTTATAGGCATAAATACTACTAGCTGCATTTATAGAATAGAGCATGATAGAGCTTTAAGTTACTGGGAAGAATTTGGACTACTACTCAACAAAAGAGGTAGATAGATCTGTTTCAGATCATTATCCTGAAACAGCAGAGAATAAATGACAGCTAAATGGCTAGCTATTATATGTAAGAAAGTAGGAGACAAACCTCCTCATGACTAGTAATTACTAATTACCATGAATAAAAACTTAAAACCATAAGTTGAGCTGCCCCGATTTCATGGTTATCCCAACTTTTGAGCATTATAATGAAATCATCAAGCATCAACCGCGAAGGAAGAGACGCACTACGCTTACCAGACTAGATATTATTTGGTAGGTCAGCAGAAAAATGAACTCATTCAAGTAATCAACATAATGTAACAAAAGAAAAAAAAAAAAAAAAAACTGTAACAATGGCAGTGAGACCAGTCCCATCAATTCCTTCTATAACTTCCTCAGCTGCTGAAAAAGATGAGAACCCAGATGGCCCTTTTCTACCAAAGAACCCCATCTCTTCTCTTTTCACAAAATTCAAACTCACTCACACACTTAAAGGCTTACAGGCGAGAAAAAAATAATAATAAAGAACGGGTGGCAATCAGAGGCAAACCGGTTTGGGATGGCCGCAATCAGAGGCAAACTGGTGGCATCAATCTCGTTTGTCAGAATCACCCCCAAGCCAAAACAAACCCAAAAAAACTTATAAGATAAACACTTGATTGTTGCTTCACTATCTTCTTCTAAAAACATAATATCATGTCAAAAGTATATAAAGCCATGGAAAAAGCCAACGAGTACTGAAACTTACCGTTGAAACTATGAACTCTACTGATTATGCATCAGCCAACACAGCCGTCGACGCCCTCCATAAAACCGGGTATTCTAAAACCGGTTCGGTTAGCGGGTACATTTTAGAGGTATCCAAATATGCGGGTACCCGGTTTTGCATAGCCCTAAACACAACCGTCGACACCCTCCATAAACCCAGATGCAAACTCACCAACAAAACGAAACCACAAACAAGAAAGAAAATCAGAGATGCTAGGGTTCTGATTTTCGAAAAATTGAAAGGAAATTTGAGAAGGTGGTGGCTAGGGTTTTCAAGATTGAAAGGAAATTCCAGGGAAATTGAAATTAATTTTAGGGTTCTCATTTAGGAAAAAACGTATTTGAATTTTTAGGCAAGTGAATTTTTTTTTTTTTTTTTTTTAATTTTGGGGGCTCATGACATTGCAAATCGATGATGTGTCATACGAGGTGACACCACCACATCAGTTGGCACGTCATGATAGAAGAGAGTGGTGTAAGATGGTGATGTAAACTTGTGTTGATGTAACTTTATTTATTTAGTGTTTGCTAGTTTTAAATTGATGAGATACTGAG